GTTTTAAAAACTTGACCAACCCCCCGAAGAGCTCCGAAAGGAGCGCTCTGCTCTAGTTGGTTAAAATTACAGGAAGCTAATAATAATTATTTGTTGAACTTTGGAATTTCTCAAGTCAGCCTATAATGATTCCATATTTCACTTTTATTCGTCACACTGCTTGGCTTGTGCATGGTCCAGCTGTCCGTATATAGCAGTGGCGTATTACTAGACTGTTGAAGGTCCATAGTTAAAGTCTGATTGGCAGCCTCGTAATATGAAGATTTAAATCTTCCAATTCCTGTACAATGAAGCTTTTCTCACAAAGAATTCTTGGGTAAGAATGCAAGAGAAGAATCTCAGATTGTTTATCCGTTGTTTTGTACATTCATTTGCTTCTACTAATTTCCTTTCTTCACAAATTTTTTTTGGCTTTTCTCTGTATTTCCAATCTTTCATGTGATGATGAGGACCCACTCCTAACCCATTCTGATGTTGGAAGTAGAAAAAATGAAGTCTTTCTAATGCAATAGAAATTGTGTATGCAGGTGACGTGTTCTTTAATGACACTTGAAATTTATTACTGACTTTTTTGCAATATTTTTTATGGGAAAAGGGCAAATGGCTTCTGTTATTTGGAAAGGTAAATTACATGTACTACAATCTGTCAGCTTAGTATACAGTGCGATTTATGATTATCTGTGGTCTCTTACGTTCTGGTCATAGATAACCTACCCATTTCAGTTATAATAAGATGGTAGAGGTAAAGTAATCTAAGATTGAAAGTGGAAAAATTTAGAACTTTACGCACTAGGAAGAAGATATATAAAGCGAATTTATTATTTGGAGTTATCAGTTTCCGCCTTTGGAAATTTGTGATGAAGTTTTTTCAAACGATTGAAATAAAAATGGACAATAGCGAACGTTTTTAATGATACTGTACAAGGGTTTTTGAAAAGAAGTTCGGCATATGGAAGCGGAAGGGCTGGGTTTAATACTAATTCGTATCGACAGCTGTTCTAAATGTATTAAATGGGACTTGAATGTTAATGACTTTTGTGCTCTACAATTGGTTTCCAATTGTGTGATTCAGGTATAGTTGTGTAAATTATGCACAGAATAATGTACTTACTAGGTGATTAATTGAATACGTCGCGTGACATTAATGTTTGGTTAATGGCCTTCTTAATTTATTAATCATCATTTGCAGATTATTATCTTTTTATTTAGAAATGAATACACTTTTTAATTGCTAACAGCTGGAAACTACGAAATGGCTTGTGGGAATACACGTCGGAGAAAACATTGAAGAGGTATGCCCCGCCCTATAGGAGATGCCCCCGGATCGGGTGGGAGCTTTATCAGTAAACCAGCCCGCGGGTGGCTCCATCCTGATCAACTCATAACTAAAGAAGGAATTACTTATGCAGTGAGGGTAAGTTGTGACTTTTATGAAATAAGATGACAATACAACATTTATTTTTTTATAAAAATGTAGAGGGGTAGATTACTTCACCTTACTTCTCATACAATTTGGATTTTGAACACTGTCCTCCATACTCATTGGACAAGTGGTTGGGCCCCAGAGCTAATCAGGACCCTGTTGTGGGGTGGAAATCCAGCCCTGCTAGGAATGTTGCCTACTCATTAAATTCATGGCTATTGTGTGAGCATAATGACCTGCAGTTACCACAAAATGATAGTAGAGTTACCTATTGAAGCATCGCATGTATTAAACATACTTTAGTGGATAATGTCTGGCATAGTACAGTATAGTGGATCGACTACTGTTACATGGTATTAGAGAATTGTACTTGAATGGTTTACGTGATATGTCTTGACTACTGGTTGAATGAACATGTGTGTAGTGAAAATATACAGATATTCAGGTAGATATTGTTTTATCATTCCAGTACATTGGATGTTTGGACGTTAACACATCCATGAAGAGTCTGGACTTTGACACACGATCTCAAGTAGCCAAGTGAGTAATTCACTAATGTACTAAGAGCTCATAACCTTTGAAAACCATAATGAACTATGATTTTATCTATTTTGTATGGGTGTGAATCTTATCTGTCACATTACCATAAGAACACATTGAGAAAATGTTTGAGAACAGTACTGAGGATGATATTTTGACTTAAGGGGGGTGACATGACAAAAAGGTAGATAAAATTTTAAATTGAGGAGCTTAATAATTTATACTCTTCAGCAAATGGTATTTGGGTGGGATGAATGGGGAATGTAGCATGCATGGGGAGAGAAGATTTATAGATATATAATTTTGGTTTATAACCTGGAGGGAAGAGACCACCCAGAAAACATGGGCATAGATTGGAGGATAATATTCAAATGAATCTTAAAGATGTGGGCTGGATCCATCTGTTTCAGTATAGAATGCAGTTGCATGCTATTATGAATATAGCAATGAATCAGATTGTATTTCAGCTTCATGTTATGGATCTGTTGAATTTCGGTATTGATTCTGCTTCACACAACAATTTGCAATAAATAACTTTTAACTTATTTGCATTATTTATTTAATGTCATTAATTCATTATTGTGACATGTTTCAGGCTAAATTTGCCTAGCATCAGACATCACAACTTATATCCCACTTGATGTCATTGACAGAATTTGTACTGCTTATAACATTATACATCATATTCTAATATCAACAAAATGTCTGTATTTGTTTTTGTTTGTTTGTTTTTTTAACCTCTGTAATGGCCAAATGATAGCAAACGTCTATATTGCTGGCACAGTCACATACACATTTGCTATCATTTTAAAGATCTCACATGTGTGTGTGTGACAAGAACTTGAAATAGTTGCAAGTTGCAATGCTTAGCAAGAACTAGTGTCTTAGTTTCATAACCTCATTCGTTACCTCGTAGGGAGTGCATCAACAGAGTATGTGAGGCCGCTGGACTTAAAACTGCTGATAAAAAGAGGAAGGCAGAGAAGCGTGTTCAGCGCGCTATTGGGGAACATCCTATTATGGAGCATGCAGGTGCAAATGTGAATCTAACCATCTCGAGCTGTGGTCTCGTGCTGACAGCATTGGAGTCGGGGCGTATCATAGCACGGCATGACATGCCCCGCATTTCATTTGCTTCAGGTGGTGACACTGTGAGTACCAGTATTAAGTGCTACTTAAAACTGTGGTCATGTCAAAGTTATATGAAACATAAGATGCCTCAGAGCGTAATATTACAGGTCTTTTTGGTCGGGACAAGATAGCACAACCCATAATATTGGAGTTTTCATCTTGAATGTGTTATCGCAGTTATGTGAGTTGAAGCTGATGTTACTTTTTTTGACAGGACACTTTGGACTTTGTTGCATATGTTGCGAAAGATTTGCGTGACTGGCGGGCCTGCTATGTGTTGGAGTGTGGAGGAGGGTTGGCGCAAGATGTGATAACGAGTATCGGACAAGCTTTTGAGCTCCGGTTTAAGGAGTTCCTCACCATGCCTTCAAACCAGTCAGTACTGCACTAGCAATCTGAAATGGCTCTGATTGAAATCCTTACGGGGTTCAACGATTACTGGCAGTGATCACTTAAAATCATATCAGTTAATATTGTATTTGTTTCAACACTGTTGCCAGGTTAGGGACTCTGATCACTTTTGTGTCACTCGGTCAGTTATATATTGTTCAGTCAAAAGTTTAATGTCGCTTTAATTATGTTCCTCTGACATCTCGAAACTCTTGTTCAAATTATGCACTCTCCCATTGCGGAGTAACTGCAGCATCCATCAGTAGTGTGATGTGGACAGACCTATTGTATCTTCTTTGATTACTGCATATTTGGGTTATAATTATAGATTTGTTATCCTTTAATAGATCACTTTTTATCATGATATCAATAACCTCAACATTAACTGATCATTGCCAGTGGTATAACTGTCTAGTTAATTATTCTGTCCTTTAGTTATTCATTACATTTTGGGATGATGGACATGTGAGCACCATTGATGTAGATGGCTTTCTTATTCATGATATTTAGTCTTTGGCTGTCAATTGGAGGTGCTTGATTAGTGGTGTTGAATCTGTTGGCTTTAGTACCAGGGAGGTAGTTAACAGTACTATAAGATGACTGCAAGGCATTGAATTTTGTATTCTGCAATTTCTTTATGAAATTATTTGATTATAATTGACATACAACACTTTTCGTTGTGTGAACATCATCTTGTACACACATGAATGGTGTTAAATGAGAAATGCTGTTTGGTTAAACTGCTTCAGGTGCGTTTTGAACGGCACTGACCGTGACTACTACAACGACTTGCCGGGTAAGATTCCCCCTGAAGCTGGTCCACCTCCAGTTCCTCCCCTGCCAAACCTTCACCCTCCTGCAACTCTTGCCTCTGCCATTTCCGGAGCCGCGGCCACCGCGTCGTGCCCGGCTGGCAGCGAGACTGCTCGACGTGAACATCAGCACTCTGTAGTGCAGCGAGCACAGAGTGACAGATCTGCTGGCGGCTCTTGTAGAGGTAAGCAACACTTTTTGTTGGCGTTTCCCAATAAGGGACCAAAGCATTCATTTTGTATGTATCAGTATGTTGGAACATCCTCTCTCTGGGAGAGAAACGTTTGGAGGCTTAAGAAATCCAGAGGAACTACCTCCTTATCTTATTGTCTTTGCACCTTCAAAACAATGTTTACATTTGTGGTTTTGTTGAAACAGAGGCTATTCATAAGGGATCACTTGTTTGAGAAGCTGTTTAAATGTTATCAATCACAGACTGCTTAGTCTGCCTGCTCTTTTTCCTTGCATCTGGTAGAAATATAAGAACAGCTACACAGGCTTAAGATTTTTGTGTTTGTGGACTTGCTGTACACATATCTTGATACGCAGATTGAGGACACAGACGTGCGTTGTTCTTTCTTGTCTGTTGACACCGAGCTTCATTTTGCAGATGGTGTTACAAGCAATTTGATTGACTTGAACTGTGAAGTTGCTCCGCCTCCAATGCCTTTGCCAAGAAGGGAGCACGACTATGTTAACGACATGGTGGTTAGCAGCAGTCGAGATGTTTTTGACATGCGTGAGTGTCGTTATGCATCTTTTGAGACGTTTGCTAGTAGTTTAGTTACGAGAGCTGACATTTTTAATCTCATGCTTCAGAGCCATTCAGTGCTGCTGTGCCGACTGATATTCTGGCTCCTGCTTCCCAGAGGGTGCAACTGCAACGAGAAGTTTGGTTCCATGGTCCTGTGAGTCGGCAGGAGGCCGAAACACTCCTTACGCGGGTTCGTGCGCAACTATGTTTACAGTACCAGCACCATTTAACAAGCTGTACACCCCATTTTTAAATTAGAAATATAAATAAAAAAGTTTGCAGGCATTTATTGAATTGCGGAAGTATACGTTTTGAGCGTGTGTATACATTATTCATGTGACTTGAAATATGGACATGGTATTCTTCGTTTGTTTTTGCTACAACCTTGTATTTTAGAGGATCTGTCATCCTGCAACATGAAAATGATGCATATTGATATCTCATTGATGTTAGTGTCACACTATTCAAATACTATATCCTTAAATCAAACTTTAAGTAATACAAGGTCAAAATAAAATACACTTAAGTTACTGTCGTTCACTGTTTTCATTGTCGACTCGGCTCGTATGTAGTGAGGATCGCTGTTGCGTAAGTAGTTTAGCTCATTAGAGATGCCAGAGTTCTTAAAAACTGTTATTGTTCAGTGTTTTATTAAGCGATATTTCACGTTCTTAACCATCTGTTTGGTAATCAACTTGTCAATAAAGCCTCTGTTCTGTGCAGTTATTGAGTTCGTTATTATTTTGTTGATATCTTGAATTGCCATCCCATGTTTCAGGATGGGGATTTTCTCGTACGAGAATCTCAGGGTTCTCCTGGTCAATACGTGTTGACAGGGATGCAAGGAGGGATCAAGAAACATCTTCTGTTGGTAGACCCAGAAGGAGTGGTAATCATTTTAACCTTTATATATTGGCTCATAACATGCAGGTTCCTGGCCATTTGCATCTTTTATGTCTGAAACAACAACAACATTTTTATTAAATCTAGTATTGCACAACTGGCTTGACTGTGCGTACACCACGGGGCATAGCCAATTAAGGTTAAACGGGTTACATGTGTTTGTGTGAGGACTCTTTCTAAAATGTATCCCATTTCTGCTTGTAGGTGAGGACAAAGGATCGCATGTTTGAAAGTGTGAGTCACCTTATCAATTATCACTGTGAGAACGAGCTTCCCATTATATCTGCGGAGAGTGCACTGGTCCTGCGTCGACCCGTTCACAGGAATCGCCAGCCATAAAAGCGTAAGCTGGGCCCTAGAGCAGAGTTCTGAAACCGTGGGGACTAAGCCTTTCGGCAGAAAAACTGATAGATCTACATAGTTGCATCTATCATCATTCTGGCTCTGTGTAAACCTTTTATTCCATTGCATTCCACCTTCCTTTGTCTACAAGATAAGCCATCTAGCTAGTTAGTTGTTGGAAAGTTAAAGGAGGAGGATACTTGTCTGTTCATGTTTTCCGATGTCTAGTGTAAAGTTTGAGAAAACCTGCTCTAGGGTGTCTATCATAATGTCGATTGATGGAAATATTGGATTTTGTCAGGGTGAAGAGCAAGTTCCTTTGTATGAGGTGACCCTCACTGGGGATTTCCACACAATGTGGCTGACTCCCGTACTATGTGCAACAGTTCGTAGAGAGTTCAACAGATGTCATCATCCTACACTCTGTCTTGCATTTAGCATAGCTTTATTTCTTATGGCCTCTTGTGTGTAGTTTTGGGAATTTACATAGTAATTGATCTGAATTGACGGAAGAAGATAATGCTCTTTAATTTTGTATATGTGCTTACATCAGTGAATTTGTATGTATTTCCTTGACTGTTCCTGAGTTGAATTAGCCGGATGTACCTCCACATGCCTCCTACTATTTAATGTATTTTGGTGTAA